CCCTGATTTCAGGAAGGGAGGGAGCCAGGGCTGGCTGGGTGGAGGGGCCAGGTGATGGAAGTCCTGGAGGAACTGCCCTGGATCAGCTGGGTGCGAGGGAGCCTCTGAAGGCCTTTGAGAGGGAGAGAAGGGAAGATGGCTTTGAAAGAGAGAGAGTACCTCATCCTTGCTTCCCTGCCCATCAATCTAACCCCTGGCTTATGTACTGGGGATGGGGGGTGGGGCGGTTATTGTTTTAGAAGCACCAGAACCGCCAAAAGTATGGGCTGTGCGTCATCTTCCTCTCCTGCACCATGATGCCCAACTTTGAAGACCTGATCCATTTCGAGGTCAGCATCGGTCACTATGGGAACAAGATGGACCTGAATTACAAGCCTCTAGTCTCAAGCACACAGTACAGCCCAGTGATATATGATGGTAATTGTCAGATTCTGGCAAAGAGTAGAGATTCATTCATGCCACTGCATGCCAGACCCTGTGCTGGGCTCTCTCAGGGGTATTAGCTCATGGAAGATTCATAGGCATTATTTACCTATATTTCACACATGAAAAAACGAGGTTCAGGGAGGTGAAGTCATTTGCCTAACTGTATAGCTAGCAGGTGGTGAACCCAAGAGTCGAAACTAGGTCTTGACATGAAGTCCTTCTCTACACTGCTTTCCACACTACAACTTCTCCAGCCTCATCTTTTCCCCTACTACTCTGAACCAGCTCCCATCCATCCATCCTCCACCCACCAGTTCATGCATCCATCTATTTTTTATTCATCCATTCAGCCACTCAACTCTCACCTACCCACTTACCCCAACATCCAACCAACTACCCCTCCAGCCTTGAACCACCTCCCATCCATCCATCCTCCACCCACCAGTTCATGCATCCGTCTATTTTTTTATCCATCCATTCAACCACTCAACTCTCATCTACCCACTTACCCCAACATCCAACCAACTACCCCTCCAGCCGTTCATTCACTCCTCCAGTACATACTTATTGCACACCTATAGTGGGCACTACAGAGCAGCGGTTCTCAGAGAGCAAACCCTAGGCCAGCAGCATCAACATCACCTGGGAGCTTGTTAGAAATGCAGGTTCTCGACCCCACGCTAGACCTAGAGAATCCAGTAACCTGGGGAAGGACCCCAGCCTGTGTTTTATCAAGCCCTCCAGGTGACTGGGGTGCATGCTCCAGTTTGAGAACCACTGCTGCAGAGCACTCCTGTCTCACTTTCATCTTTTTCAGCTTTACCGTCTCATCACCCAGTCTGAGCCTTTCTGGGCATCCCACTTCCCTAGCTCTCTTTTTAAAAAAGTTTTATTGAGATATAATACACAAGCCATACAATTCGCCCGTTTAAGTTTGTACAATAGTTTTTTAGTATATTCGCAGAGTCGTACAACCATCACCACAATCAATTTTAGAACATTTCCTTATCCGGAAAAGGAACCCTATGGCCGTTGGCAGTCACCCCCCATTTATCTCCCACCTCCCTAGTCCTAGGCAACCACTAATCCACTTTCTTTTTCTTTTCTTTTCTTTTTTTTTTTTTTGAGACAGAGTCTCTCTCTGTTGCCCAGGCTGGAGTGCAGTGGCGCAATCTTGGCTCACCGCAACCTCCGCCTCCCAGGCACGTGCCACCACGCCTGGCTAATCTTTTGTATTTTTAGTAGAGATGGGATTTCACTGTGTTAGCCAGGATGGTCTCGATCTCCTGACCTCAAGTATCCACCTGCCTCAGCCTCCCAAAGTGCTGGGATTACAGGCATGAGCCACTGCACCCAGCCATCTACTTTCTGTGGATGTTCCTATCCTAGACATGTCATATATGGAACATGTAATATATGGTTTTTTGTGAATGGCTTCTTTCACTTAGCATGATCTACTTGGTTTTTGTTTTATGAAATATATATACAAAAAGCAAATGAAATGTGTATGTGTAGTTTAAAGAAGAATAATAAAATGAGGGAGGGTGAGGTGAGAGGATCACCTGCGCCTGGGAGGCAGAGGTTGCAGTGAGCGGAGATCGCACCACTGCACTCCAGCCTGGGTGACAGAGTGAGACCCTGTTTAACCAAAAAATAAAAAATAATGATAATAAAATGAGTACCCATGAACTCTCCACTCTGCTTAAAATATAGAAAACTATCAGCATCTTAGGAAGGGTCCGTTTGCTCTTCCCAGATCCCTTCACCCAAGAAGTAACCATGACCCTGACTCTTGTATTAATCACCTTCTTGCTTTTCTTTTTAATTCTTCACCTATGAATGAAATCCTGAACATGATACAGTTTTTATATTTTACATAAATGGACTGGGCGTGGTGGTGCTTTTTCGGTCCGTATTCATCTGTCTTGCATCTTCTGCTCAACGTTAAACTTTGTATGTGTGTATGTGTACTGCAGTTCATTTTCACTTCTGCATAAATTCCACTGTGTATGTGGTATATTCCACAAAGTATGTGGTATATGTAGGCATTTAGGTTGTATCTTTTTTGCTATTATAATAATTTTGTTGTAAACATTCTTGTGCATGTCTCCTGGTGACAAGTGCAAGACTTCCTCTAAATTATATACCTAGGAGTGGAGCAAAAGTGATTATACCAAATTTACACTCTCCTCAGCTTGGTATGAGTATTCCTATTACTCTACGTTCTCACCAGTACTTGATATATTGCCTAGCCTTTTTTAAAAAATTAATTAATTTTTTTTGAGATGGAGTCTTGTTCTGTTACCCAGGCGGGAGTGCAATGGTGCAATCTCAGCTCACTGCAACCTCCACCTCCCAGGTTCAAGCGATTCTCCTGCCTCAGCCTCCCAAGTAGCTGGGACTATAGGCGCCCACCACCACGCCCGGCTAATTTTTGTATTTTTGGTAGAAATGGGGTTTTGCCATGTTGGCCAGGCTGGCCTTGAACTCCTGACCTCAAGTGATCTGTCTATCTTGGCCTCCCAAAGTGCTAGGATTACACTAGCGTGAGACACTGTGCCCGGCCTATTTTTAAAATTGTTTATGGAGACAGGGTCTCACCATGTGGCCCAGGCTAGCACCACCACACCCAGCTAATTTTTCGCAGAGATGGAATTTCACCACGTTGCCCAGGCTGGTCTCAAACTCCCGAGCTCAAGTAGTCCACCCGCCTGGGCCTCCCAAAGTGCTGGTATTACAGGTGTGAGCCACCGCGCCCAGCCCTGTTGATTATCTTTAATTTTGTAGTTAGTACATTATGTGGTCTAAGAAATATCTATCTCAAGATCATGAAAATTGTCTCCTCTGTTTCATTCTACAAGCTTTATCGTTTTATCTTTTTTGTTTGGGTTTATGATTCAATTTGACTTAATTTTTGCGTATGGTATGAGGGAGGAATTGAGATTATTTTTCTCTATACAGATATACACGTTCTTTTTCTCTACACAGATAACCAGTTCAGCACCATTTGCCTGAAAGACTATTCAGTCCCACATTGAATTACTTTGCCACCTTTGTTGAAAATCAGTTAACCATATTGATCTATCTGCCTATCCTTATCCACCACAACCTCCGTCTCCTGGGTTCAAGCGATTCTCCTGCCTTAGCCTCCCAAGTAGCTGGGATTACAGGCATGCGCCACCACACCTGACTAATTTTGCATTTTTAGTAGAGATAGGGTTTCTCCATGTTGGTCAGGCTGGTCTCAAACTCCCGAACTAAGGTGATCCGCCCACCTCAGCCTCCCAAAGTGCTGAGATTACAGGCGTGAGCCACTGGACCCGGCCTAGTTGTTCCTTTACAAAATAATTTTGGCTATTGTACAAGTCTTTGGGTTAGACTTTGGTTGAAAATGAGTTCCTTCCCATTTTCCTATTTTAGCATAAGCTCGACAATTTCTCCAAAAAAGGCCACTGGAATTTCCTGTGTTCTTTTGTTTTCATCAGGTATTTTTTGTCTGGTTTTTAGTATTATATTCTATCTATTGACAATATGTATCTTTGGATTATTTTTAGTGGTTGCTTAGGGAATTACAATATTGACCCTTGACTCCTTATAGTCTACTTTGAGTTAATAATATGCCACCTCCCAGAAATAATTGTTTTATTATATGTAATATACCATGCAATTAATTACAGTATAATTGCATTGACGGCTTACATTACCTTTGTTATACCTTTTTAAAAATATTTTTGGGACTGGCCGGGCGCAGTGGCTCAAGCCTGTAATCCCAGCACTTTGGGAGGCTGAGACGGGCGGATCACGAGGTCAGGAGATTGAGACCATCCTGCCTAACACGGTGAAACCCCGTCTCTACTAAAAAATACAAAAAAACTAGCCGGGCGAGGTGGCGGGCGCCTGTAGTCCCAACTACTCGGGAGGCTGAGGCAGGAAAATGGTGTAAACCAGGGAGGCGGAGCTTGCAGTGAGCTGAGATCCGGCCACTGCACTCCAGCCTGGGCGACAGATATTTTTGGGACGGAGCCTCACTCTGTCGCCCAGGTTGGAGTGCAGTGGTCTGCCTCCTGGATTCCCGGGTTCAAGTGATTCTCCTGCCTCAGCCTCCCGAGTAGCTGGGATTACAGGAGTGCGCCACCATGCCTGGCTAATTTTTGTATTTTTAGTAGAGATGGGGTTTTGCCGTGTTGGCCAGGCTGGTCTCGAACTCCTGACCTCAGGTAATCCACTCCCCTCAGCTTCCTAAACTGCTGGGATTATAGGCGTGAGCCACCATGCCCGTCCTATCTTTGTTATGCATTCTGGAATTAGTTTGCTAATATTTTGTTGAGGATTTTGCATCTATGCGTATGAGTAAAATCTGATTTTGTTAGTAATTTATTTAGTGATGTAATTTACAAACCACAGAATTCTCTTGTTTTGTAGCCACTCTCCTGTTCCCACCCCCAGGTCAACACAACTACTAATGTACTTTTGTCTCTGCATATTTACTTTTCCTGGATATTTCATATAAATGAAATTATACAATATGTCATCTTTTGCATCTGGCTTCCTTCACTTGGCTTAATGTTTTCCAGGTTTATCCATGACGTAGCATGTATCAGTACTCCATTCCCTTTTCATTGCCAAATAGTATTCCATCATATGGGTGTCCCGTCCATCATTTGTTAATCCATTCATCAGTTGATGGACATTGCTCCCCCTTCTTAGCTATTAAGAATAAAGCTGGCCGAGCCTGGTGGCTCACTCCTGTAATCCCAGCACTTTGGGAGGC